GAACCCCTTCGTTGCGTAATCTCTTCAGGCTAACATCTGGGGTAGACAACTGGATAAAGGCGGAAGAGGTGACAATTCCTGGCCTCTGTGGGGACTGGTCATGCGATTAGTTCAAGCGGTAAGCATGGCTCCTTGAAGTGACGACAGCATCTAACAAGTCCATCTGTAGATGGGTATGCACCGGGACGGTGCCCGCTGGAACCTCTCTCAAGATGTGATTGAGGAAAGACGCAAGGTCTTCTGGGAGCTGAATGCTGCCGATACCTTTCAGGCTCATTGCTTTTCGAGGCCGTATGGATACCGCCTGTAGGCTTATTGCAGTTCTGATGTCGGTCAGGTGCGCGATTAATCCTGAGCATTGCGACGTCGAATTCCCTGCCGAGCCGCTCCATGTAAGCCAGGAGAAGAGCTATTCGAGACTACGATTCGAGCTATCTCAGCTTTCTTCCGAGTGTGTACTTCATTGTTACCCAACCCTGCTTTGTTTGTTATTGCTTCGGGGCTAAAGAGGCTGAAGAATACTCCATATGGCCATGAAAGTACGAAAACCACCGTACTCTGCTGTCACCGATCTAGACATTAGGCTGTATGTCTTCCTGTTCGACAATTGCAATATATTCGCATGCTAACCCTACCGAGGGCGGACTTTGAGCGCAACCTTCCCTTCCCCCTTCGTTGTCGAGCAGCGTTCCTGTCCATGCCTTCTCGGTATCCCCACGTCCAGGCGGCAATCGAAGCATCACCTGAACCATCCCGGAGGTCAATGACCATATCCTTCCAAGTTTGTCTGCCCATCCCGTCCATTCGTGCATCTGCTGACCGAATCAGCAAAGTAATCTTGCACTTAACATATCGGAGACGATAATCAATCTACATCGGCCTTATTATGCCAAGGCGCTCTACGACATCAACGAACGTACAAAATCCATATATGCGCCCTCATTTCTCACAGTGATCGAGCGTTGCGGGGTAACGCCATCCTTTAGGCTGTCCAATTATGATCTCTGCTTAACATTGGTAGATTATCATTGCTATTGTTGACGACATTCATACCCGCTTTCCCGCGGTCAGCACCAGACAATGGAATTTCTGGGTAGGAGAATCCATTTCCTTTGTCAATAAGAGACCACAATATCTGATGGTGTATGGCACAATAGTATCACGTGTTTGGTTCGGCTCTCTGCTTAGGGACGTTGGTGTTGCGCGATCCCAAGAACTCAATGGCTACTTTTGCTCTTACGCAGGTTGATGCCGCGATCAATCTATTCACTTCTTTGGTTCAGCACGGCGCCAACACTCCGAGATACTTCCGTAACCTGCAGTGGCTTTCGAAACTTCGCGCTCGGGCATCGTCCAAAATTGCCACAGCGTCTACCGCCGCCCAACAGGCTGACTCGCAGCGAGGCCAGAGCGATCCGGACAGGCGGGAAATTAATCGAGAAGACAGAGAAGATAGTGAGGATGTCGAGCTGCTCGGTTGGCGGACCAGGTTGATTGAACGGGCTGGTCAAGGTCGTCCGACTATCCGCACTATTCAGCTTGCTGAGACGCCGACCGATTCTCATGAGAGCTTTGATGTCTCAAACGCATCGCCGCATGGGCATATTCACAGAGCCCCTCAAGGTGAGCTGGGAATTGGAGATAATATCATAATCCCAGGCTCATCCCTTCCTATGGTGACCCCCGACTCGACAAACGAACTTGTGAGCATCATTATCCCAGCGTACGCCCATTGTTCGAACTGACACATACAACACAGTTACAAGACTTTTGGGATCCAATGCTGCTGCAGGATATATTGGGAGGCATTCCAGTGGAGTAGGCAGATATGATGATGACTTCGGAGCCGAGTCTCTCTTAACTTTCCTCCGTCGGGAGGCCAGAGCACTACAACCATCTGGCATGCTCTAGTAGTGGAGTCAAATTTCGTTCCAAACAAATATGTTCCCAACAAGTGTGGTACGATGCTCGTATTTTCTTGACTTACTATGATAGATAAAAGGTATTCTTCAGGCAGTATCATATTTTTAAGCTTCAGAAATTACAGCCGACGGCCTTTAAACATCCCGATGCCGCCACTCAGGGTTCTGCTACACACCTATAGATTTGTTCACAAGACCAGAAGCTTATGCACCCCTTCAACTTTAAGACCATCTTAAAATTTGCTGGGATGTTAGGTCTACTCTAACTTTGAAATGCGAAATGTCCCGTCTACAAAGGCCTCGTGGTAACCTTTAAGAAGTTGCCAATGCAAGGAAGAATGCATATGTATCACACCTACAGTTCTGTCTCTGGGCTTTGATGGCCAGCAGAAGTAAGGCTTGCACAAACATGACCAATGAAACTATTAGTCTATTTTACCGACTGGAGTTATATGTAAAACACTAGGCCTTGTCCTTCACAACTTCCATGATAGGGAGACCATTGTCGTCAAAGTATACCGGTACGCCATTGCGGAACGAGTACTGTAGAGCGGTGGCAATCTTAGCCGCCTCATAGGCATCCTCGGGGGCGCAAGTGAGAGGCTCGCCGTCAAGAACCGCGGCTGCAAACTCTTCCAAGTCTTTGATGAACGATTTATCGTAGAGGACGAAAGCATCTGGGGTTGTAGCCGTACGCACACCATGCGAATCACGAATCTCAACACGATTGATAGTGGAGTTTGCATTGATGACCGAGTGGGCCTTAGTCCCGCACACGCGAGTCATCCCCTCGAAGCCGTTGGTGAGAGTGCGGCCCAAGTGGAAGGTGAGGATCTTGCCGTTGGCGAATTCTACCAGACCCCATCCGTTGTCGCAGTCGCCATACTTAGCAAGCTCGTCATACACAGCCTGTTGCCCCATGGCAATGACTCTGTTGACCTGTTTCTTGGGGTTGGTGAGGCCCGACTTGACATCCAGGTAGTATCTACCAATGTCGATCTGTGCGGTGTGAGCAACTGAGCCCTGCAGGGACTGAGTAATAATGGAAATATGACTGACATCGTGGACCCCCATATCAACAAAGATACCTCCAGACTGCTCGGAAAATTTCACAAAGAAGCCTATGTAAGACGGTTAGAGCTCACTAGACTGTCGGTGATCGTTTGAAAGAAAGCTCACCTGTAGGATCCTGCTGGTCAATGCAAGAGCTCTCGACCGCGTGGATGTCACCGAGTGACCCATCCATGACCATCTGCTTCGCCTGACGATACGAATCATCATCTGTTCTGGATTAGTCGATAGGCCTTCACTTTTAGCACGGAAATTCAAAGGCGTGACTCACACCGTCGACAGAAGGGCACCAAGAACTTAAGATGAGGCTTGGAAGCGGCTTTGGCGACGACCTCCTCAGTAGTGATGACATCTACCGAGATGGGCTTCTCACACATCACATGCTGATCGCAGGTTAGACATCGATTTCACATGAGTGAACAATTGCTTGTAAGCTCACCAGGCCTAAATCAAGTGCTTTGAGGATTAACGGGGCATGGGTAGCAGTGGCCGTCGAGATCAAGACAGCCTCGGCACCGCTATTCTTCATGCAGTCCTCCGGGTCATCGAAGAACTTGACTGACGAAGGCAGATTTGTCGCTGCCCACTCATCTGCCCCGGGTTTTGTATCGCAGGCAGCGACAAGCTCAATGCGAGGTTGCTGGAAGGCCAGAATTCGGGCGCGAATGGCACCCAGACGGCCTAGGCCGATCAGAGCGATCTTCATGCGAGGTTGGGCGGTCATGGTGAAAGGAATAAAAGGTGTTATTGATGCTTTTAGAATATAAAGGCTCTGAAACAGCTTGCTTTTATTTCGTCTCTTTATTTATTAATATTTTCGGGCGCAATCCTATTCCAGACATGATTGAGGGGTCTTGGTTAGGGTCCGATGTATGCGTTCATGGTTCAGTCAATGTCCGACGGCCGATGCTTCCGCCCGATCTGCTTAAGTCCGACTCTTGTTACTTGACCCGATCGGACAAAATGTCTAGAGGGAAAACATTCAGTGAGCTACTCCAATGCTGCTCCTTCCACTATCCAAGACATTCTACTTTTTAGCATTGGGGGTTGTTCCTCTTTCGGACGAGTTGGAAGATGATTTGGCCTCATAATTAATATCCTTATGACATGAACTATAAACTGCACATACATGGCAGCGCAAAAGTCTTTATAACCTTATGTGTTTTCTAGACATTCTCGTACTGTTTATTGGTCTCCACTAAAGTACTGTCCTGACCATGAGCCGTAAAATAAACCGTCTAAGTTTATCCTCCGACACTACTAAAAGGGATACATTGTGGAAATATATAATCGTTGGGCCAGGTAGGCGGATTGCCTGCCCTTGATGAACACTGCGACTAAGTATGAATACCTGGTAGCGTTGTTCATAATTGATGAATGGGCCAATGCCGTGTCCATGGGGACTGCTGTCTATTTCTGGGTCATGGGTGGTTGCATCAGGGGCTCTATCCTGACCGCGGTGGCCAACGGCTTCATTCTATCCCATCTGCGGCAGTCACAGAGTGCACAGCAGATGCAGCCAGTATTCCACTCAATAGAGGCCCTTTGCCATCTTCCAGCTTCAGCACGTGACCTCGTTGTTTTGGTGGCAGAAGGATCAAATATTCCTCTGGGTACTTGGCAGTGATGATAGTGGGGTGCGATTGACCAGGTACTAGATTGTAAGGTGCACCAGTCAATGAGCGGGAGGCTGCGTTCTCTTTGTGTTTGTGCGTCGCACTACAAACAACCAGCTTACCGATAATGGTATACGAACAGGGATCATCACTATTTAGTGCAGTGCGCAGCAATAAGACCTAATTTCCCGAAATTCATTCCAAGACCTGCCCCCCTCGTTCCTATTTTCCCCTTCCATCTCTTATCCTCGGGGGTAGTTCTGTGCTCCTCCTTTTGCTCCACCACCATAGTCTTCAGCCTTGGGGAAAACTTTGAGACTCCCCTCACCAGCAAACTTTCTAGCAATATTGACTCGCATCTTCGAGGCTACTACTACTGTACTTACCCACCATGGCAAGCATGAAACTCAACGGAGGGGTTGCCCTTGTGACTGGGGTGAGTTCCTCCCATCCCATCTTGCGCAGATTAATCCCCGTGTACCTTCAAGCATTCGAGACAGCAGCACAATATAATCAATTCTAACTCTGCTTTGACCTACTAGGCATCATCCGGCATTGGCAAAGATGTTTGCTTTTCGCTCGCCGAAGCCGGCGTCGAGTCAATTGTGCTCGCCGATCTGAACCTCCCTGACGAGGCCATTCTGAAGGAGTGTCAAAAATTCTCCTCTCACCCTAACTTTCGTGCCATTGCTGTCGTCGTCGATGTCGTCGATGAAGCCAGTGTTAACGATATGGTTCAACGCGCTGTTGCCGACTTTGGCCGAATTGACTACTGCGTCCATTCCGCGGGCATTTCGACCAAGCGTTCACCCACCTCCGATCTAAACGTGGAGGCGTTTGACAAGGTAATGACAACCAACTCCCGCGGATCGATGATGGTGCTGCGCGCTGTCACTCACGCCATGGCACGCCAAGAGCCTCGTTTGTACACCAGCACACGCAGCAACACGACACGCAGTCTGGGCCGCGGGTCAATCGTCGTCATCGCATCGATCAACGGCATGATATCAGCGGCTGGCATGATGCCATACACAGCGTCCAAGCACGCGACCATTGGGATCGCCAAGACCGCCGCCGTGGACAACTTTGAGAACCAGATCCGAGTAAACATTGTCTGCCCATCGTGGACTGATACTCCAATGATGCAGAGGGGCATTGAATATTTTCCTGCGCTAGGCCCAGCATTACAGAAGCTGTGTCCACTCGGCAGGACCGCCATGGTGGAAGAGGTGTCCGACGCGGTTGTCTTTCTGTCTAGCCCCGCTGCTTCGTTTATTAATGGAGAGTCCTTGGTAATTGACGCGGGGTTCACTCTGACGGGATTTCGGTTAGCTCACTAGATGCTACCATGTCGTTCAGTAGAGGTCATGTCAACAAAACACCAAAAACCTATGATGGGGGTGCTCTAGCTTTATCGAAATGTGATCCTTTCTTCCAGTTTCTCCATCCTCTTTATATCAGTTGACTAAGTGTTTCACTTGCAGATAGAATTCTTAGCCTAGGAAGATACTACCAGTTTTTCCTCTATTTTCTGGTCCTCGGAGCGTTACTTAGTCGTCTCGAATCGTATGCTCAGTATCCGTAAATCTCGCCGGTTCTCTGCGACTTCGGTCCACCCGCAAATCAAAAACATCCAGCCGTTGATAACCACCCACAACGTCGTGATATTGCTTCCCCTCAACGCAAAGCTCCAAATCCAAGTCCGCATACAATATTGCTTCTTCCATCTGCAAGAACTCCCGTGTCTGCTGCTCCTGCGTCGACTCCATCACCGTAAATCCCTGAACCGGGGATCCCGTGGGATCGAGGAACATGGTGACGCCGCGCGGTGAGAGCTCCAAGGTCCGGCGAATCCGCGCGGTGTCACTGGCTCCAGCGACAATGGTATCAATGGCGGTTTTATCGAGGAATCCACTGCACATCACACCAAAGCACTTTGCCTCGAAGCAATGGGCAGCACAGCGCAGACGGTTGGCCAGGACATTGTTGTAGTTCGACCCAGCGGTAGTAGCAGAAGCATCCCCGGTACTACCCGCCGCCTCGGAATGGTCATCCAACATTCGGGTAGGCCAGATACATGGCCACGATGAGATATGAATCTGCTCCCGCTGTGTCATAAGAGTGTATCGTGCCAGCGGGTTCGTGTTCTCTCCGCAGATGAGCGCGCCGATATTGCCATACGGGGTATTAGCGACTCGCAGCCCGTGCCCGTCACCTGGGCCTCCAGGTCAACTTCTCGAAGAAGGTTGGCATCAGCTTGCGGTGATGCACGGCGATTGAGCCAGTGCTGTCGATGATGAGGTTCGAGTTGTAGAGACAGGCAGTACTGGTCAGGCTACGCTCCGAAACGCCGATGCTCACCACAGTATTGGTCTCCCGAGCGGCAGTCCGCAGCGCAGCAACCTCTTCGCCATCAATGGCAATCGAGTTTGCCACCATACGGGAGAACAGATGGTGGTTATCTGTGGGTGGACGCAGGGCACTCCAGAGGGGAAAGGCCGCAATGTAGGACTCGGGGAAGACAACTACGTGGGCGGCATTGCGCGCCGCTTGATGGATGAGGGAGACGGCTTTGCTCGTGGTTTTAGACGCGGACAGGAAGTGAGGCGCGACGTGGCAGGCTGCTACTCTGGTGATGACCATGGTGAAGACGAGTTACAGCACGGTGGTCTTTACATGTAGCAAATTGACGCAGTTGAGAGTCAAGGATGTTATCGGTGAGGGGGCTGGATGATAAGGCCATGGCGGGAAACCCGCCCGGCGCGCTTGTCGCTCCACTTTCGGGTAATCCCAGGATCAGTCTTCTTGGTTCGGCCAACCTTACTTTTAACGGTTATGTTGATCAGCACGGCTAGACATACACAGAATTTAGTCGAGCAATCAAAATTCAGTTGGTAGTAATATAGGGAGATCAACATCTAAGTCACCAATTCCTCGCGACACCTCGTCCCATTATCTCACCGAATATGCTGAGGCCCGGTCAGTGATCCAGTACTAGCTTTAGATAGAGTGCAAGACTTACTCTGCCACCACCTTACATTTGCACAGTCCGATTACATGGCTAACAGGCACAGTTGAGAGCAGATAACAACGGAAATGAGTCTTTGACATTGACACACACACAATATCCCTTATATACAATGAACACAGTAGAAAAGGTCCATCAAGGAGAACAAAAGGAGATGGAACCGGAGATACCACCACCTAAACGATCAGTCATAAACACGATCTCTCTCAGTCGCGCGTGCTCACCCTAGGAACAACAATGGGCTTCCATGACATGAGCAGGCGCAAACATAGGCATCGCATCTTCCCACAAACTGTTCGACAACACGGTCTTGTTGCTACCATCGGCTTCCATGAGCACGATGATAGCGTATGGCTGCATAGAATCATCGTATAAGGGTGCCTCCTGCTGGAAGCCGAACATAGCGGTACTGTATAGGATACGTCCATCCTGGGTCCACACGGCATGGGCATCACTGGCAATAGAGGGAGTGAGCTTGGTAAGTTCACTGCCATCCGGGTTCATGGTGAAAATGTCATAGTTGTCGCCGATGTTATCCAGGTTGGTGCGCCGTGTGAACAAGATCTTCTTGCCATCAGGGGAGAAGGCCGGGAGGTTATCCCACTCGGTTGTAAGTTGGGTCACTTGCCGGGAGGGTAGATCGACAATCGCTAATCCAGTGGTGCCTATGGTAGTACCATTGGAGGCAGTACCGGGCCACGTCCGGAAAACTACCTGCGTGCCATCGTGGTTGTAAGACGGGAACCCGTAGTTGGTGATGTTGTTGCCGGCGAGGAGGGTCACGCCCGTGCCCTCCGGGGTAACACTGAAGATGAACCCCGGGCTACTTTGGCGACCCACAAAGTATGCACCGTAGCCGAACGTGATGTTGGTATCATTCGGTCCCCAGTTGCCCTGATAGGCACGGGCGTTAAAGCCTTCCGCGATAGAAGGGTTGATCATGCCCTTCTTGGTCTCGAAGAGGGTAACCTGATCAGTGCCGTTCATTTGGAGACGCATGAGATTGCTCTCCGCGACACCCTCCATCTGTTGTGACATGGCCATCATAGGGCAGCCTCCACGCTTGGCCATCGGGAAAACATCCGTGAAGCGGTAGTCCCAGTCCGGGTCAAAGCTCCAGAGCGGGGAATACTGAGTCTTCGATGTCGACGTACTACCACCAGTGGGACCTTGTTTTTCGTAGATAATATATTTGCCATCTGGCGACCAGGCAGGGGAGCGTATCGCAGGTGTCATGGTATTCATGGGAATGGTCTGGTATTGCGTGTAGTTTTTACCCGAGATGGAGGTGTAGTAGATACCATTGCTGGCCGCCTCTTTCATGACATAGCCAATAACCTGTCGGGTGGATTCAGTGATTAGTATGATGTGCTACAGTGTGGCTGACCCAGGATACTTACATCGTCGGTGACGAATGAAGGACTGATCTTGGTCCCATCTCCAGTAGCATGAACAATACGGTCAGCACCAGTGGCGAAATCAATGGAGACGATGCTGGTGTTGAGGTAAGATCCTTCGAGCAGCTCAGGCTGCAGACGACCATTGTATGTGTCCTCGGTCAACATCTCATAGAAGACCAGGCGCTTTCCATTCGGGGAGAATCTAGGCGATCCCTGGGTGTAGTTGCTCCGAGATGAGACGAGTCGAAAGTCGGTACCATTGGGGCGGGCTGCGTAAATGGACAACTCCTGGGTGTGCTCCCATCCAGAGCCGTCGCTGTGGCCCCGCCATGGAGTGTTGCGATCGGATGTGAAGACGATCCACTCTCCATCAGGGGACCATGTCGGCTTGAAGTATCCATTGGGTAGTGAAGAGTTGGCGGCCTCGGAGATTCCGGGAATGAGTGTGAGGTTCTTGAGCGATCCGGTCTCCAGGACCATGAGCATTATCTGGCTAGTCTGATTGTATCTCGAAGTTGCAAATGCCAGCATCTTGCCATCGGGGGAGATCGAAGCAGAGTCGTCGACACCGGGTGACAAAGCGACCTCTTCTATTTCTGCCCCCACGGTACTGGTGCCATTAATGGCGACACGGTATATATCCGCCTGTCCATCCCCTCTTCTCTCCGACGTGAAGTAAACATACTTTGCGTCAGGGGACCAGCTGGCTCGGAAATCGTACACGGAGTTGGAACCCAGGAGGAGCTTCTCATTGGAGCCGTCTGGCTCGGCAATGTACAGCTCGGAATAGTTGGGACTGATGCGGTTGTGGAGGAAGGTACCTAGTTTTGTTCCTGAGGTGGCTTCTCTCCTAGCCTGGTCTTCTGCATGTAATGCACCAGAGACTAGGGTGGCAGTGGCTAATGCAAGCCAGGCCCATGCCTTCGAAACAAACATGGCTCTTTTCACACCCTATTGGCAGGGGTGACAGGGATTGGTTGAATGGGTAAATACAAAGATAACAGAAAGCAGGTCACCGCTCACACACGATAGCCTGTTATTGAACCAAGTTCTGTGACAAACTTGGGCAGTAGTCGAAAAGCAAGCAGGGCCAAGCTTCGTCTTAAATGTCAGAACTCAGAACTCAGAACTCAGGACTCTGAAGAGCGGGATGGGGTGGGGATGTACCCGCTGACAATTGGAAAGGACCAGAGCCATCTTCGCTTAGATGGGCAGAATTGTCTCAGCACTGGAGTATGGCCCTCAGGGCTTAAATTAGTGTCTTCTAGTGTGGAGGGTCAAGAAAATGCAGGTGCCACGCAGAGAAAAATCCGGGAGCTCCACCTTTCGGACCTTGAACCCTGAAATGGATACCCGTCGGCGATCACTTGTTGCACTTCGTATAGCGAATTATCCCTCGGACCTGCCCACCCGAGGCGATCCGCGCCCCCCGAACCAGGTACACGTAAAGGTGTGACGGATATGAGGTTGCCAACCTTGCGTAGTTGTAGACCATCTCAAAAGACCGGTGGAGAAAATACAATACGATACGCCACTCCTAGCAATCTCGGGCCTCGTCCGGGCTGCTCTATACCCCTCTGATGCTCGTTCTTCAAACAACACGGGATAATCTTCTTCGTCCAGGAATCCTCCCGCATGTATTGCATGATAGCTCGGCCATAGTGTTTCAGGGCCCTTTGTAAAAACTGAACGGATCATTCTCAGCAAGTCGAGGCAGGACGTTTTGTAATTGGGATCGGAGGTCCACCCACTTGTTCTCCCACATCCCGCATGAGGACTGGAAGAAGGGAGCGGGGAGGATGTGCCTCTTTTCGTGATTGGAAACTCGGAATTGGCTGTAAATAAAATCATTCTTCGAACTGAGGCAGCCGCGCAATCCTTTTACCTCCGACATCACAAGGCCGAGCGGAACGTCGAGCCCACCGAATAGGCAACCGTCGTCATTTCTATTGGGTCCTTCAGGCTTCACAAAGGGGAGTCTACGCACTATTTCCGACTGGTCTGTATGCCTTCACTGCCCAATGGTGTGTCCCAACGACGTCAGATTACGATCCAAACAGCACACAGCCGGCGGCTTCAGCTGAGTCAAGCGTTCTTCTTGAATTATCAAAGAGGCTAATGAACGCTGACCCTACAATGGAAAGAATATAGTGTTGGTGTATGATGTTCAGTTTGGGATATCACAATGCTTACTGAGGGTTGATGACTACGGCCGCACCCGAGAAACAAGACAGTTTATAGTTTTAAAGATTTCATTGTTTCAATGGTGGCTATTGATGTATTTATCATCTAGACCTGGATTGAAAAGCTTCCTATTTACAGATAGGCAATTGCTCAAAGGCCTCTCTAACAGCAATCCCTTCCCAAACCCGTGGTTAAAGTCAAGACCCAGTTGGAACGTAAAGGAAAGTACATGGGCTTCGAGCAGAATAGAAGCAATGATGGACGCATACGGCTGGATAAAGCCGTCTGTTCAACCGACCCCCAATGGGAAAAACTCTAGCTGATAACGGTGATATTGCTCGACAGAGCAGTGCAGTTGATCGGAAGATCAATTGGTGGAGCTGTTCCCCCGTTGCTGAAAGCCAGACTGCTGTAATTGTATGTCGGGCTCAGCATCATGATTTGGCCAACAGTCGTCCCATACTTGTCGGCAAGATCCTTATACACACCCCACTCAAACGAATAAGGCTGGATGATACATTGACTCGGCGAGCACTCGGGGACCTTGATGAATTGACCAACCCGCAATGTTTCATTAGCGGACTGACCGCCCGAGAGTGATTCGGTAGTTATGTTGAGACGGAGGGCGATCTTTTCATATGTGTCCCCTTTGACGGTGTAGTACAAACGTGGTCCACCGTAGATGCAAGTCCGGGTACGCCCCACATCTTTGATCAGGCAGGATTTATTGTCTGGAGTGCAGGTTTCGCCAGGTATGATGAAGACTTCGCCAATATTAGGTGGAATGGTCACATCTGCCATAAGGTTGTGTCGGCCAATGTCACAGACACCGCGGTTGGTCTTGCGGGCAACCTCGAACACCGTAGTCTCTTCGGTGATATCGTAGAGATAACTTGTGGTATTCAGGGTACTCGGATCGCAGGACGCCGAGGCAACGGCAATTGTGCCCAGAGAAAGAAACATAGAAACGGCGGATCCAAAGCTCTTCATTGTGACGGTAAGTAGTCTTTACTGGGGATGGAAAGAAATTG